GAAAGAAAGAAAGATCTGAGGAATTGGAGGGGGGATATCAGATGCAGGAAAAAGAAAACATAGCAACAACAACAACAAAAAAAAAAAAAACAAAAAAAACCCCAGAAACAAACAAAAAAAAAACCACCCAAGAATTAAATTGTAGAGAAACCTGAGATGGCAGGCATGGCAAGAAAACTCAAAGAGTATACAATAAATAGCCAGAAGAGCCTTGCTAAAGAGGTTAGAATGATATGATGAAATAACATTTATATTTTAACAAACAAACACATTGGCCTTTGATTTTCAATTCTATACAGCTGCATACAAATTAAATTCCAGTGTGGATTTTTTTTATTCTAAGAAAAATAACATAATGGGTAAATAGTTGAAGGTTTTTCATAAAAGGATATATATCAGGGCAGCTGCATTGATGGACAGAGGCAAGAAATTATTAGAATAGTACCAAATTAGATTTTTCAGCTACCAGTGTTGTCCTTTTACAGGCACCATGCTGTTGATGTTGTTACAGGATGGTCTACATTTGTTGCTGTTTTCATCTCTTTAAAGCTGAGGTGAGCTAAAGCAGTGCAGGCCCTTTACATGTACACATTTCACACTAGGACAGATTTTCAGTAACATTGCTTGCCTTGGTTTCAGTCTGCCATCGAACTAGAATAGTGAATACACCAGGGGAAGGTCACAAGAAAATTTGGGTGACCTGGTTGAAGTCAGCAGTACCTACAGGAGACACAATGATTTATATCAATGCAGTTGTAGTAATGCCCAATGTAGTAATGTGAACTGTAGAATAAAGCATAAATGAATATTTAAGTCAAACTTTACGGTCCCCGTGAAGGTACAGGAAATGGAGGGATGCAAACCTGAAAGTGGTGTTTCCTAATTTCGCCACAATGTAAATGCTCATCAATCTGTCTGCTAACATAAATGTCATTTGCAGTTCTTCTACTCAGTACAACTTGTTCTTCTTTCTTAAATCCTGTCAGAAGCAGGGTGAGTGCTGTCAATGCTGACACAGAGAAGGACTTCAACAGTTTGAATATTTTGGATGTGTCCAGTTTAAAAAAATTCTTTGACAACTGATCTTTCATAAATGTTACAGAATTTAAAGCAAATGGCTTTTAAAATCGTCACGTTTGCCCCCTTCACCAACGATGTGATATATTTTTAAATATAAATAAATAAATATAATTAATATCATTTTGCTGTCTTTGGACTGTTAGGGTAGACAAAACCACTAAAATCTGTTCCACCATGAAGAACCACTAAAAGACAATAGAATGGTATAAGAGAATGGACTTTAAGTAAGACAGATACTGTATTGTTTGGAAAGCTCAGCTGTGACTTGATGTGTGCCGGAGCAGCTCTGTGAACTCTCTGTGTTGGCGTAAGGCACAGCTCTGCTTCCCAGCAGTGACTTCTTCAGCCAGCTCTGGTTACTGCTCCAGGGCACAATTGCTGTGCTGCAACAGGAGGATTAATCCTGGCTGGCTTTGCTCCAGGGTTTGTGATGTCCAGAAGAAATGTGGTAAGGGGAGGGGGAACCCATTATGTCCTTCCTGCTGTTTACTTGTGTCTGCAGCCTCATCTATATAAAATTGTACCAGATGAATTAAATATGGTGTTTCTATGTGCTCCAGAGTCTGTATGGATACATATAACTGAGCCTGCAGGGGGGATTTATATATTTGTTAAGCTTAATGTATTATGCATCCCCTGAGATAACAGTTTTGGAAAAAGTTCCCTGAGAAAATCCATATTTGAGCTCAGCTCCTTGGAGGAAGGAGAGGGTGGAAGAACAGGTGAAACAGCCAGGAAGAATCAACCCTGAGACAGTACAAAGGATCAGAAAGGAAGGATGTTTGTGATAGTAAGAACTACAGAAAGAGCAGAGAAGGAAACTCCAAAGCACTACAAGTGAAGAAGGAAGGCCCTGACAACTAACCATAACCACCTTGGCCATGAGAAGCCTGAAGCACACGGCCAAATCACCAACCAAAGAGCAAAGAGCTCACTGATTTCCTCTTCTTGTGCTCAGTTCTTCACAATGTTGAACTGATTTGAAGGAGCTGAGCCAGTATTAATTAGAGTTTTATAAACTACCTTAGTGTATTGTGCGACTGCAAGACTGCCTGCCCTCTAAGCGCTGCCCTTTTTTTTGGAAATAAAGGGGTGAAGAATTCCTTATTTTTGTAGATGGGACAATAGAAAACATGACTATGAGTAAAAGAGAGACAAATTGTGTGTCTAGACTTCTGTACTTGGCAGTGTTTGCTCTTCTACTTTATTGTGATGAAGATGGGAAGCTCCCAAAATTTGGGCTAGAGGGATCTGGCCTTTAACTCATGTTCCTTTCCACTGATGACCTCAGCAACACCAGTGGAACAACTGCAGGATGGTGTCAGACCTCAGGTATTAAAAGAGCCCATCAGCAGTGGGGTCCCAAGAAAATTCCTTTCAGACCCAATTCACATGACTACTAGAGCTGCATTATTGACATGGTGCATTCACAGATCTCACAGCAGTTCATTAATTTCTTATCAATCAGATGTAACTTAATGCCCTGTTACCATGAGGATATGTGAAGGCGAGGGAAACAAATAGGAGAGGTAAAAGTCTCCAAGACCTTTGCAAATAGCATGCCCCAGAATCACTTCAGTGTGTTTAGATGTAGTAGCCTACAGGGTGAAATGCACCAGGAGATTTTAATTTCCAGGAAGGCTGATTTTGTATCTCATCCAAAATACACTACCATCATTACAGCATCCCAGATAACATAATGGGATCAGTACCAACTGGAAAGGAAGATAAGTTTTTGCTGAATCACTGTTGCTGCATCTGATCTTATGTAAACACCTACAGGCACTGGGGTCAGCACTTGAGGGAATATGTGTATGGAAGTGTTTCCTTTATGAGTCACCCATGCCATTTACTGTGGCACAGTTCTTCACACCACACTGTGGCACTGATATTTGAACTATTAGATGAAAGAGGGTTTTACCTTGAGTCGTCAGCTGTAGATCTCCCTCAAGATACCCTGTGATGGAGGACAGCAGCATTATGCAAAGCAGAAAACAGCAACATGAGTGAGAAGGGAATGTGCAGAAGTATAGGAAGTATTCATCTCCCCCAGCCATGAAGGGCATCCAGCAATCTTTGTCAATGTCATGAATCAAGGACGGGGGTGGGGGGAGGAAATCAAGATTATTTTCTATCACAAAAAACAGCTTCAACAGTTGCTAATCCAGTAGGCAGAAAAAACAGGAGAGCCAAGAGGAGATGCTTCATACCAGATGCAGGCCTGCAGATGCAGAGCCACATTTCTTGGAGAATGTGCTTGGGCTGCAAGAGAAAAAAGGGCGTTCTCATGCCGGTGTGCTGCGGCTCCCTCCGGTGTCCACCGCAAGCAAGAGCAGCAGGACACCTCCAGCTACTTCCCTGCAGCTTGTCTGGGATGTAAAATACTGAACAGCTTCTGAGCCAGCAGTTCCGTCACCAGCAACATCGCCCCCATCTGCACCAAGCTCTCCAAATGGAGGGGCTCTGCTAGCACAAGGCATCTATCTACCCGCACCAAGCAGCTGAGGGAGAATGTCTTCCAGTTTGAAAGAAAAAATTAAAGCTCAAAAGCAATCAGCAGAATCCTCATCCAGTACTGGCTGTGGATCCTGTGCTCTGTGGGCAATGGTGGTACTTCAACACACTGGTAGACAAAAGCATTTGGCATCAATGAAAATTTCCAAATAAATGTATTCAAAACTCAAAAGGTTTTCCAGATGTTTTAGTTAGCCTGTTAAGCAGTAACAGCTCAATGACAACACAGAGACATAGAGAAAAACAAAAGCCAAACCAAGGTGTGTGGAAAATTGTCCAAACATATGGACAATGTGGATTTCCAGAAAAAGCCAAGGATCTGAGAGGATTCCTCAAATTGCTGTGTGGTTATAACTCATCACATCCTTTTGGTTGTTTAATGACCTCTTGAGCATTTCCAATAGACCCAGTTTTAGCCCTGAAAGTGGGAATGGTAGTGTCTTGCTCCAGTGAAACGGGAATGGTGTTTGGGTACAGAGGGTTGCCCTGGTGAGCAGAGAAATGTTTAGCTTTCCCCATCCCCTCTGCACCTCTTCTGGTGCATCCTCCAGGAGTCTTGGGAGGACCACAAATAGGAAGGAACAGTCGTTTTCCTCTTGAGCGCTGCAACAAGCGATGCTCAGCCACTCTCAGGTAAGAAGTGGTGGCTTCAGTTATGTCATGTGTGGTCTCGTGTGGCAGGGAGGACACAGCAGAACATTTCCTTTAGTACCTGTGTATAAGGCATTATAGGATTTTATTTTCAGTTTACAATTAGTTGAGAACAAATGAGGGCTACCAAGCTGCCAGGATCAGCCTTAGGGGACACAGATTTTTCCCGTACAAGGTTTCTGTCTTTCATTGCTGTATGAGGTAGGGAGCTGGGGTAATTCCTTAGCTTTCTCCCGGATGCCAGGACTGAGATTGTGTCTTGAAGCTCATCCAGTGCCTCCTCAAACCCAGCGGAGTGGTTACAGAAGCAGTAAAGGGAAAAGAAGTCAGTGAAAGCAACAGCAGGGGGTCGGATCCAGGGGCTGTTGGAGGAAGGGTTATGGGAGAGCGGCTATTCTAGTGGGACCATCATAAAATGTGCCGTGCTTGGAAGCACAGGGGAGTCAGGAGAATGGCAGTGAAGGTCAGGTCTCGTTGCTCGTCTTTATTCTCAGCTTGTGTCTCTCACATTTTCCCGCTTTTTAATTTATTTCTATTTTTTTTCGTATTCCCTGCCTCTCTCAGGCCAGAACGGCAGCGGCGCTGCAGGACGGGCCCCGTGGCCGGGACCTGTTCCCGATCCTTGTGTTCCCTGCCCGCCACGAGCCCGGTCCGCTGGGAAGCCCAGCCCCTCCATAGCGCCGGGAAGNCCACTCCCTTCAGCAGCATCCGGGCGCGTCCTGCGGGAGAACGGGATGCGGGCTCCGCAGCGTCCCTGTGCCGCCGGCAGCCAGGGAAACGGGGAGCAGCACCGGAGCACTGGGGTGGGGACAGGCAGCAGCTGAGCCGGGAAACGTGGCTAGAGGTAGCGGCCTGAGGAGAAGCCGGGCTGCGTAGAAGGGCAGGACGAAACGGGACACCAGTGTGCAAGCAGACCCAAGAATCCATCCCTGGTGCTGGGCCATCCTGGGGGAATGGGAGGAGCCCCTTCGGAGGACAATAAACTCTGGAATGAGGGTGTGGGCTGCTGCTCCTCGCTCCCCCCCTCATTCCACATGCATGATGATACCATATCCCTCCATCTCGCTGGCTCTTCTTGGGGTTTTTTCTCTCTTTTTTTCTTCTTTTTTTTCTTTTTTTTTTCTCTTTTCCCAGAAATTGTATTTTGAAGACAACCAAAAGGAGAACGTGTTCTGGGTGTGGCTGCATGTGATTTACCCAATAGCCAAAGTGGGGGGGCGCCGAAGGGGAAAAACAGAGCGTCTGCTGCTGAAGGGAGTGGAAGCTGAGGGCTGCAGTAAGTGATGGGGACCCTGCGTTTGCTTTCAGTGCTCCTCGAAATAACTGAATAGTAGAAGAGAATGGAGGGAGAGAGTGTGGGGGAAACTTTTTGTTGCATGCTGAGGGTGTGCGCGGAGCAGGGCTTAGCCATCCAAGTGGGAAAAGAGATGGGGACTGGAGAAAGGAGATGGGAAGAGGAACAAAGCAGGTGGTGTTAAAAGTTCAGTCCAGAATGTGTCAGAACTATCTGGAAAACTGGCCACATGAGAAGGGAGACAGGAGGGAGGCTGGGAAGACCAAATGATCATGAGACAAAAATGGGTACAATAAGCAAAGTTTCTGAAGTATAGGGAAGGGTATACCAGTTCCTGCCTTACCTTTCCTCTGTTCTCCACTCCACAGGGATGAAGACCTCTGGAACCTGTATACTCTTTTGTGTCTTAACACTCTTCTTGTCCCCAGCTGGTGAGTCCTTATGCCCAGGGGAAGGATTTATTCCTCTTCTGGGCCCCGCAGAGTTTCCTACACAGAATAATGTGCAATGATCTACAGACAAAGACAGAGCTATGTAGAGGGGTAGTGAAGGGGGAAGGACTGAACAGGAAAGACAAGGTAGATATAGGATTTTAAAGAAGAAATTAGAAACTGGAAACAGTTTCCCACCTGTGACACTCTCCATTATTTACTGGGAGTCACAAGAGTCAGAGGTCCACAGCTTCTACTGCAGGTATGTTATAGTAAGCAAAACATCCAGATGAAGCTGAGAAAGAGGGTGAGGTGTGTTTTGTGCTTACTGCTGTACCACCTGTGTATACATAATCTGCAGGGCATTTCCCAGTGCTCTGCAAAATTTGTTCTGTCATAGTTGTGACACATTTGCTGTCACTAGCAATTCCTGCTGGAATGACCTCATTCCAAGCCACTCAGCTGCTGGGAGGTTTTGTAGTATTTGTACAGCTGTTTTGAGAAACCTCACCTCTGTAGTTTGCTTTTGGTGGTAATGGTTGTTTTTATTCTGTTTTGTGTCTCCATTACTTTGTTTGCTTGGAGATACTCTGGCAAAAATGCAGATCAAAATTGTTTTGCTGGTTTTTTAAAAAAGCACAACAACGACGAAAAAGAACAAAACAAGAGGGCAGCATCAGACATTATACTCAGAAGTCTCAGGACAGATAGTGAAAGATTAATTTCAGTGAATGGACAAAGCTTCGTCCAGGGAAGACTGCAAGTAGGAGAGAGATGACTACCTATGGCATTCAAACCGGGTTATTCCAATACCCTCCTTGATCCTCCCCTCATGCTGAAACCTGATTCTGCTCCAAATCACATTTTTTCCTTTAAAGGTGCCCACTAAGCAATGTCATGTTTATAACTGTGAAGCAGGTAGGTGAGGCATCCAAGAGATGAGCTTATCGGTGGACTACAATTTGAAAGAGGGGAAAAAAAAAAGGCTGTGTTTTTTATTATGCATGAAGGAAGCCTGAAAGGAATATTTCTTACTTTTGAGTATTTTGTTTTAGCACTTCTCTTTGGGTTTGTTGGTTTTAACTTGGAAAGTAACAGGAATCACCAGCTGGTCTCTCATTGTTTCTTTGATTTTGGGTAAGCTACAGATTTGGTGAGTTAGGGTTGCAGTTCTAGACCTCAAGAATGAATTTACTGCAGCTTGGATAAGAAAGTTTAGTTGCTTATAAGGCTTATTTGTTTGGTACCATAGTAAATATAAATTGAAGTGACTGAAGGTGGGATAAGAAAATCACCCTTTTTGTGTCCTTGCCTTGTATGCAGAGATTTCACTTCACTTACATCCTTTTGTTTTAGAATTGGTCTGGTTTTCTATTCAACCCCTAGGGGAAAACAAAATTCGTAATAGCTGACTTTTCAATGTTAGAAAAGAAGGAGGAGCCTCCCTGTCTTTTCTACATGTCTCTTCAAATCCAGCACTGCTGGCTTCTGCAACGGTTTCAGGATTTGCATCCTTCCTTTTGCATCAGGAACAAATGAGAAAGTGCTCAACACCATTTTCTCCTCTACTTGTTGCAATTAAGAGATTAGCCAGAACAGGGGAAGTTTTGGGCTGTATTAAATTATGTACTTAAGTTATTATTCATGTCTGGCTCTCCCTGGGTTAATCGCCAGCAGCTGAGCCCTTGCTAGCAGCTGGGTGGGGAACAGAATATCAGGGTCCAGCAACTCCTGTAATGCTGTAGAGCAGGATTATGTAGGGCTCCCAAGAGACCCCCTGTGGCCTGCAAGTAACTGCCCTTGGAATGTGGAAGAACTATGACAAAAACCCCAGACCTGACAGTTTTTACCCACACAGTGATCCCATTAAGAGCAGAAAGCTGCAGGCTGAGGTCATGGGATGTAGCGGGATGTAGTGATTTTTGGGCTGGTCCTGCACACATCCCTGCAGTGCCCCAGATCACTGGCTTTTTTCCTGCCAGCTCCTTCCTTCATCCCACCCCAGTTATGCAGACATTTCCCTCGTCTGTGGTTAGCAGGAAATATTTTCCTATTCCTGGCTGCTGTAAGGAAATTGCTCTGTCACCCTTTATATTTGAACAAACAAACAGTCTAGCCCAGCTTCAATTTCTTTCATGTAGCATGTACAGCCAAGCCTTCATCATTGCCCTTCTCCAGTTCACCCAGAGGCTGAGAGGGGAAAGATTATCTGCTCTGTAATCCCTACCCAGGCTGGATGCTTTGCCTAAGGAGCTATTAAACCTGCAGTCTGCTTTTACTGTACCAATGACTCCATCCATGCCCCCAAGTGAATAATTTCTATGACTCAGTTTCCTCTTATAAAATAGAGACAGGGATTTTGCTCAGCCTGCAGAGCAGGGAGGCCACAGGGACCTTTTTTTTTTCTTTCAAAATACATCAAAAGAGGTTTCAGAAGGGCAAAGTCTGGTAGCAGATCTGGAGGTATTTACTAACTTGTCCCTGTGCCTAGCCATTGACCTTGTGGAAGCAGCGGGGATAGGATCAGGACCTGCTGTATCCATGAGCCTTTAAACAGCAAATGCAGTGGAGGCTGAGGCTGAGTGGAGAGCATTTCTCCCTTCAGCAGAGGGCAGTGGTGTCTCCTGGATAGATAAACATTAAAATTTCACAAAGCCTGCAGACTGTAAAAATCTGTCTTTCTTCACTCCCCTCTCTTCTCTTGCAGACTGGTTTCCATGGATGGTCAATGGGCAAGAACTGGAAAGTGTAACTGGTAAGTATTACAGGCATGTTAATGTGCTGAAGATCACTCATGTAACCCAGTTGTCCTGTGGAGTTACAGTCTGTTTATTAGAAAATACTGGTTTTTTATTTCCTTGCCTCTGACATTGTGAGCTTACCTTTCAGTGAAGATTAAACAAGCTCTCTAAGACAACCTGCTACGTGTTACATGCTCTTTACAAATAATTCTCAAGTGCAGGGGTCCTGAACACTTAGCTAAAGGGTATGAATTTATGTTCACAGTCAGGGGTTGTGGGAGATCCACAAAAGCTGGTAAGTCTTCAACCATGAGATGCTTGGGGAACTCCACTGCTGCTCAGAAAAATCCTAGGGAAAATGGTGCACAAGCAGCATGGTGCTTTAGTAGTGAGGCCATTGGGAAAGAATATTGACTGATCTTCTTACTGGCTGTGTTGTTGGGGGTGAATTGCTTTATCCCTCTGGACCTTCATCCATTTTTGCAATATGGTAAGATAGAAGGAATGTACATTTACATCATGCTTCAGCACCCAAAAAGGTTTGCCTTTTCTTCAAACCTGGAACTCCTGGCTAAGCCTGCAGACATCTCCCAGCTATGATCCTATGATGTGTAATATCTGGGGTTTCCCAGAAAACTGTTCAGAAGCCAGCCCAAAGCATGCCCTCCAAGCATCCTTTCCTTCATGATTTACCTCTCCACCACTCCCCCAACTTTGCCAGCAGCTGCTTTTAAAGAAACTCATCCACTGATGAATTTCTGCAGTTAAGGCTAGGTTTTGGGGTTGCCTCCCTCCTTCTCTGCCATGAGTGCTTCAGCTGTCTGTCCTAGTGCTGCAAGAGGCCTCAGCACCTTCATTTCAGAAGTCTTTCTCTCCCACCAAGATGCCAACAGTGGCCAGATCTGGGAAGTCAAAATATGCATCCAAAATTCACTCAGGGTTGATACAACATGTGCACTAAGTAATCCACTTCCAGGCCAGTCACCACAAAGGGGAGTGGATATGGGGGTGTTGGGGGTACTGTTGGATTACATATTTGCTGGGTTGGATCCCACTGTCTCAGGAGCCTATGATGGCAGGAGAGGTAAAGCTGGCTCTGGCTGGCTGTGTAAGGACCATACAGTAAAGACAAGCTTTTTCAAGGACAATCTCTTTTCCAGGTGGAGTTACCCCTGACAGCAGCTCTGGTAAGATCCAATCTCTTGGAATCTTCATGCTTCTTTTTCTCTTTTCACCACTCCTGCCTACACAGATACAGAAATTATCCATTATGCCCAGGAACTTCTTGTCCTGCTTTTGGTGTGCAGCAGCATTCTGCTAGCACTTATAGCTGTCTGGGAATCCTTTCTGTGCTCCATGCAGGGAGATGAATTTAGGGCGACTTAATGGTCTGTTCTCCAAGGAAATGACAATATCACTTAATGTACCAGGGCTCCCTGAAGATGTTTCCACTGCAGGAAGCCATGAAATTCAAAGCTCACACATCCTTGGCTTCCAGAGAAGGTGACAGAAACAAAGAGACTAAATGATGAGGGTGAGAGATTGGACAGGTTCAAACTGGGACACAGGTTGCAGATGTGCTTCAGTGCTCAGGAGACAGAGGTGCCAAATAAAACCCTGAAAGTAGTGAAGCAAACCCTGAGCATTGTTGGAGTGGGGAAGTGGAAATGCTGTTCTTTCGGTACTGTCTGCCCCCCCCCATACCTGAGGCTGTGTCACAGGGGGGCAGCAAAATGTCTGCAAAGGGAAGGGTAGTGGAGGACTTGGAAGATAAACACTTAGAGCACACAGTGTGTGTCCTTAGAGAGTGGAGATGGCCTCAGGAGAAGGACACAGGGCTGATGGGAGTGAAGGCAATTGCAACAATGGGCAATGGAGGAAAAGAGAGGCTCAAGAAGCAACCTCCCCACCTTTTCAAACCTTACTCTGAGTTCTGGCCTTGGGGATTGTTTCTCTCTGCTGGACCAGTCTCTCAAACACATCCCTCTGAGGTGAAGACCAGGCAGGGCAGGGAGAGGGTGAACACATGTGGCTGATGCTATGGTTCAGAGAGGCAGCTATGCATGGCTGTTCTGTGTGGGAACTCCTCTGAGAGTGGTGTCTTGCTCTCTAGAACATCAGCTCCACAGTTTGTCCTCTGCCCTGACTCTGCTCATCCACTGGCTGCAGTATTTGTTGTGGGTCAGACAGCACTGGAAGAGGAAAATGGAAGCGCAATATTGTATCTACAGGATGTATGATCTTCGTGGTTGGGATGGGAGGTGAAAGCAACTGTGTTCAGTGTATGAGGCCTGACAGTCTGTAGGAGAGTAGATAGGACTTAGTGTCCAGACCAAACTGGTGGTTACTGACCTACATCTAAAGGTTGAAAGACTAAAAGTGAAGCCTTTACAACTAACTTGGGTCTCAAAAGGTTTACTATTGAGAGATCAAGCAAAAATCTTCACAAAGGATGTGCCATTGGGACCCATCTTTTCTCTGCAGCATCCTGTCAGCTCTAGCACACCCAGCATATTTGCAGGGAAAGCCTGCAGTTACTCTGACAAATCAGATAATAACAACACCACAATCAGCATTGTCTATGAATCAGATGTGAGATGCCTACTAGTCAGGGCTGGTAAGCCATCAGCAGAACAGTGGCAGGAGGAAAAAGACTGGAAGCTCAAATTAAGATCTTTCAGTACATCTCTTTTTCCAGGTGCAGCTGTCACACCACCTGCGCTTCTTCCTCCTGGTGAGTTTATTCCCAGTTTGCAGCCACATCTTGTAGACCCTCCTTCCCTCTCCTCACACAGTTCCTTGCACATCTGGAATCCCACCTTCTCTGACTGCCCCTAAGCCCCACACTCAAAGATTAATTCTCTTTAACACACATGTTTTGTCTCTGCTTCTGGTTAACACTGTGGCACCTGAGCAGAAGTCCTGTGGAATTGCTCATAAGCACTTGTACCTGGCAGTCAGTTCTCTGAATTCCTTTCCAGTTTGTTACTGGGTAAATTATAAAATGTACTGGTTTGCTGTGGTACAGATGGGTTACTTTATCAGAGGGAATAACAAACCAACTTCTTTTTAACCCCTTGTCATGGACATTAAAGAACCAATGGTGTTGGGATTGTGTTTCTTAAAGGTGTGCATCACTGTTCTTTATGAAGGGCAGTCACAAACTCCTTTGCCTCTTGACTCAATGAAGAGTAATTACAGAAGCTAAAGAAATTTACCTGACCTTTTAAGTCAGAATGTCCTTACAGTGTAATTTTGAACAGTAGTGGTAATGCTTTATGGGAAAGCTTAGGCAAATTTTTAGCGTTATTGACTGCATAGCTGGCACAAGACTCACATTGGATTTATACCTTATGATTTCATGTCAGTAACAATGAAATCTTTCTCCATATTAGAAGTTACAGTAGAAGGTTCTTGAAGAGTTTTCCAGATATTTACTTTGATTAAGCTGATTTCTAGGAAGGAATCATGGTAACTAACTAACTTTGCTACCCTTTGTCTTCCAGTTCAGTCTGACAGCGAAACGTCAACAGCTTCATCAGGTGTGTTTTAAGTTTGCTGCTTGCACTTCCTCCCAGACACCTTTTTCAGACACTCTGTTAGCTCTCCAGAGGGGTTCTGTCTGGGCACAGAACTTCGTCTCCTGGAAAATTGCTTTAAATTGTTCCTTGAGTTAGAAGTACTGGAGAATGATGGTAGTGGGAGTTGAAGCCTTCTCCTGGAGGGCATGCCTGGGAAGGGAGGAGCTGGCAGATCAGCAGACCAGATAGAGTGGGTCAATATTGTGTCAGTGTCAGTGGCATTTCAGAACCATGTGCAAGAAAATCCATTGTAGTTAGTTACAGGGTTGATTGTCTAGAAAAGAAAGGAACTAGATTTATGTCCTGAAATGTGATAATTGCGCATCTATTAAAAACACGTCTTGAACATGCAATTGATATTTACATTTTGTTTATATCTATCTGTCCCCTTTACAACATGTGCCTCCTGTATTCTGGGTGTCCAGTGGGCTTGGTTTGCCTTTCACTCAACTTTCCCTTCCTTTTGTCTTGTGAAGGAAGGGGATCAGAAATGTCTGCACTATTTTCTGCTTCTCTAAACCAACCCCACCTCTCACATGAGAGCGACAATAGATGCTGGGGTCCTTCCCTAGAAGCCTGGAGGACTGTTCCTAGTGATTAAGTTGTATCTGTGCCTGAATGAGTGCACCTGGCCATGATGCTGGATTGCACCTCCATGTTTGTGTGTGTGTTCTCAGACTGTCGGGAGGAAAAGTTCCCTTGCACGCGAAAGTTCCCTTGCACGCGCCTGTACTCCGTTCACAAGCCAGTAAAGCAGTGTATCAGCTACCTCTGTGTTACAAGGTAAGAAACCAGCAGCCCCTAAGAAAATCACTAAAAACTGCCCAGAAACGGTATGTCCAGTTCAGCAATTGTTTGCTGTGAAGACTAGAGCTTTTCTCTGGGAACCTCTTGGTGAGATGAATCCTATCCTCAGAGTGTCCTTTTAGGGTAATTATTTAAAACAGCAATGATTGCAGTCTGTGCAGCACAAAGGAGCTGTAATGTGCCCTAGACTGTAATCCATATTTAAGGTATTGGATCATTTATAGGGCCATGAAAATGATCAGAGGTATGGAGCACCTCTCTTACAAAGACAGGCTGAGAGAGCTGGGATCATTCAGCTTGGAGAAGAGAATGCTCCAGGGAGAACTCATTGCAGCCTCCAGAACCTAAAGGGGACATATAAAACAGAGGGAGAGAAAATTTTATATGGGCAAGTAGTGATAAGACAAGGAGGAATGGTTTTAAACTGAGAGAGATTTAGATTTGATGTCAGGAAGAAATTCTTTACTTAGAGGGTGGTGAGGCACTGGCACAGGTTGCCCAGGAAAATTGTCAGTGCCCTGTCTTTGGGAGGGTTCAAAGCAAGGTTTGGTGTGGGGCCTTGAGCAACCTGATCCAGTGGGTGACGTTCCTGCCCATGGAAGTGAGTTTGGAACTAGGTGATCTTCAAGGGCCCTTCCAACCCAAGCCTTTCTATGATTCCAAGATTTCATGAAGTCTTTACAAAGATTATTTTGCTATTGAGCAGTCTTATTCTAGGCTAAGAAATCATAAAAATGTGGGATTTGCTTGCTCATTAGTGAATATACATGTTTATTCCCTGTAACCCTTTTTTGTTTCTTTGTGTCCCTGTGCCCTCCGCTGCTGATCCTGGTGATCCCGCAGCGTGCGTCGCATGTACATAATAAACAAGGAGGTGTGCACTCGCATTGTCTGCAAGGAGAATGAGGTCATGCAAGGTGAGTGGTATCACAGACCAGCCTAGCAGGATAGCTGCAGCCATCTGATAGAGTCTCCAAGCTTACGGTTGGCTTAGACCCTAATCCACAGGTAGTAGCTTCCCTGGACTTTGAAAGAGTTCTAATGCAATGCAGTCTTGGATCTAATACACACACCATGTTAAAAAAAACTGGGAGGTAGATATTGTACTACTGAGAAATATGATAGCTCTCTATTCCTCAATCTTGATCGTGGTCTAGTAGTCCCACTACTACTTCCTTTGACATTAAGCAGGCTAAATTTCTGTCCATGAATAGAAGCAGGATCCAGTCTAGATTTTTTATGCAGTTTCTGTTTCAGCAAAATACAAGTGGTTTTAATATGTAATGTACATGCATAAAGCCAGAAGGAAATTTATAAAAGCCTAAGGACTTGATTTGCTTGCCTCATGTATATGGGGATTCAGCCATTTCAACAGTTTCTGTAGATGCAGTGAAGGATGTACCTCTAACAATTCTGCTGGTGAAGAATTTGAAGGAAGCTTTGATTATCTGTCAACCTGTGTGTGTCTGTTTGTCCTCAGATGAGATCTGTCGCCAGCTGGCTGGTCTTCCTCCTCGACGTCTCCGCCGATCCGGGCAGCCCCTGCCTCTCCCTTGCAGACAGCTGCTGGAGCAGCAGCGCAGGCCTGGTGCTCTGTGAGCTACCAACAGCAGGAGAGGAAAAGGGAAGTCATTATCCACTACCTACAGTCCAAGACAAGTGCTTCTTGTTTGTGATTCCCCCATCATTTCCTTGCTTCTATGCCTTCTTCTACATCCTCTTCTTCAGGTGCTGCAGTGCACAGAGTACCCTCTCTGCTAGTCTGTCATGGTACCTGTTGTCATCTTTATAATCTATTGCTGAGAATGTGAGATTCTCTCATCTTTTCTCTCACACTGCCTGGCAGGCTGTGAGCTGCTCATTTCCCAGAGGTCCTTATAAATGTGGTGCACCTTCTCTTGCTTTGCCCCTGGAGAGAGATAGAAATGAGGACAAGATGTAGTCCTCCCCAGTGGTTCAGATGCCCTAAGCTGCAGCTCATCTCACCTTCATGCCCTAGGACTCCTGCCCTAGATTTCTTGCCTGGCATCAGCATGAGCTCGGATGTGGTTGGCCAGCCTCTCCAATTCTCCCGAGCCACTGAGTTTGTTGTGTGATAGCACATTCTCCTCCTTGTGTCTGCTGGCCTCAGGGAAGTGTCAGAGCTTGGAGATGAGCTGTCCTGAACCCAAGGCAGACCTCATTGTCCCTGAGTGGCAACAGGTCATTTGTAACTACCTCTGGGAAGTTTTTGTCTCAAGTCCATTGCCTCCCTCACACACATCTGCTACCAAAAGGAAAAATTGTGGATTTAGTATGGCATTATATTTTTCTCAAGAAGACTATGTTGGATCAGAGTTCTGCATCTTCTACTCCTCCTCTCCTTTCCCCTGTTCTTGCCCCTCTCTTCCCCCTGAAGACATCTCTTGACACCCATTCCAGGAAAGTTCCAGGGAGCAGAAATTACAGCTGCCTCCACTCCTAAGCCCAAGAAGAACCTGTGTGAGCTGACATAACCTGTGACCTTGCAATGAATTATCTTGTCACAGTGTCTTATCTTGGTCTGGCTACCTCCACACTCTCCCGTTACTGTGCCTGCTTTCAATCTCCAGCTGAGTTCCTACCTCCTGACCTGGAAGCTCCTGCACAAAGCAGAAAGGAGTAGCAAATTGGAATTGGATGTGGGAGCAGAATCATTATCTGGGACTGCTGTTTATCTGGGACCTGGGATTTTCCTGCAGTCTCTCACTGTGCTGGCCTGCACAGAGCCAGGTGCTGATGGGGAAGGTAAACATATCTGCAGGTATAAGCACTTATACAGGCCAGCCTGGGCAGAAGAATTCACTGTGGCAGCACTGAATGTCTGGTCTGCCCAAGGACTTTGTTTTCTAGATATATGGAGAACATATCCAGCTATATGGCAGTTTTAATGATGAAACCAGGTAGGGTAAATGGGGAAGAGCAGTCAGAATTGTATTAATCACTCCATGTTACTCTTAGTGGCATGATTCTGTGGGACACCAGAGGATCAGCAAGACCCTGTCTCTAGGATCTCTGGGTTGTTCCCAAGTAACTGTAAGCCAGTTTGCTAGATTTGGCATTTACTCCCCTCACATGATAAACTCTTCTGCTGAACAGAGACCATTCAGTCTTGTAGGAGCACTGCCCTGTTGCACAGAGCCAGGGTCACACAGTACTGGGGATGGTTTGCTGCACAGAGGCAGACGTCTCAGAAAAAGAACAAAACCATTAGTGTAGGACCACCTCTCCAGGACCTGCATTTTTGCTGTATGCAACAAGAAGCTGGCTACATCCTCTGTGTAGGGGAAGACACCCTCTGCAGACAGATTACATATCTGAGATCAAAATTAGCCCTAGGTGGGCTAAATCTCTCTATATTAATCCAGTATACAGGAGAAAGAATTCCAAATCACACAGTGACTAGAATTTTGTCCTACATATAGGAGCACTGCACTGCTACTCAGAGGATGATGCTCCTATCGAGTACTCCAAGCTCATGAGACTAGGAATGAAGGAAGAATTTCTTTGTACTGAGAGGGTGCATATTTCTGTAGAGATGAGGGTACTGAGAGCTTCATCTCAAAGACATTCAAGCCACTAGCAGCCACTGGCTTCCATGCTGGGATACCTGTGAAAATTGCCTGTGTGGAGGAAGGTAGGATGGAGATGGGATGTGAGATCTTGGAAACTGGACTAGGTCAAATATGCACTCTGTATTTAGAGGTGAATATACATTGCTATAGATACATAACTGGGTAACATAGCTACTGTACAGCATATAGAAATTTAACTTTCATACAGGTTGGGAAGTGGTTAGAAGCCTTTCTGTTGCTTGCTTTCAGCAGTGACAGGAAGAGGTGCTCCTGTCCAGGAGAACACTGTTTTAATGCTAGAGTCTATATAATCCATATTAAAAGAAAATTTATTTCCTGTTATTCTTGGCAACTCTCATGTGTTTGAGTTTATTTGTCTCTTGCTGTATTTCCTCCAGATTTGTGAGGAGACTTGATTCCAGATCGAATCTATTATTTGGAACCTTTTACTCCCTGCTAGTCTAGTCTTCTGCTGTAACCCTCCTTTCACTCATAAATCACTGGTCTTCCTGGGAACTCTTTTTTTTCTAGAGAAACATAACATTTTCTCCAAATTTTTTTTTTATCATGGATAGCTGTGCTAGATTTTCCTGACAATTGGTAGCTGCGGAACACAGAGATAACTCCTCCCAGCACAAGAAATTTGTGCTGAGGACACATCTTTTCACTGTGCACATGCCATGACTTTCTGGTGGAGAATTAACACCTCCAAATAAATTGGCAAGACAACTGAAATAAGAGAAAAACTGTAATAAACATCACATAAGCAGAGAAGAATTTGTTTGCTACAACCATTTAACTTCATAATGGGAATAACTGAGATATTGCATTAAAAGTTACACATCCAGGTCAAAAATATTAGGAAAATTTCTTTTTCATTGATTTTTTTGACTTTTTCATAGTTTCATCAGGCACTGACTCTACATCATATTTTGGTTGAAAAGATGAAGCACTAAGATCAGGGGGACTCTGAGCAGTGTCTTCATGTGCAAGCAGTCAAGTCTCCATTTAGATGGTATTTCTAGAACAAAAGTGGCTGTGGGCCAAATTACCCATTAAGCTGACTCTGAGAGTGCCCCATAGATAATCAGGACTAAACCAGACAATGCAGGTTATTGCACAACACTCTCCTCCATGCCCCTTCCTGGCTGAAGCTGTGGTGTCCTGATCTCGGACTGCTGTAATGGACACAGCCTCAGCCCCTGTGACTGGAGATGCTGCTCCTACCTACACAGGCCAGACCCTGCTCTGTCTCATAAACTCAGCCTTTGCAGCACTCCCATGTTGGCACTTTCCCCTGGCTCTGTGAGCCAAGCACAATCTATGCCATCAACTGTTTGTAATTCAGCTTACTCTTCCTTTTCCCTTACACTAGAGTCTGCCTGCTCTTCATTAGCACTTGTCCCATGCACAGATTTATCTCCCCTGCCACTCCAACCTGCCATGCTATCTTGGACATCACTTTCTCTTGCAAGCCAGGGAAGTGGTTTTGAATACGCCTCCAGGTAGGTGTGCTGCTCTTGCAGTTGGGCTAGCCACAAAGAAAGCTGACAGCCCTGTGTTTAGAAGCATGACTCCGCATTTCTGGCCGATTTTCATAACCTCTCCTGACCTGGAGCAGGAGTTAGATGCCCTGAGGTCACTTCCCATACAATGGCTCCTCCTTTGGCTGTCACAGCTCCCCAGTACCAATCTGTGTGACCAGTTTGAAGGCTGCTGTTCAAAGCCAGTGCTGCAATGTCTGTTCCCCAGTTTGAAGCAGTGCCTCACTGCTGGGCTTGTGGAGCTAACAAGCATGGGAAGGCTGTTGGAAGAAGCTGATCTGTCACCTGGAAGCTCCTGAAACTTGTTGCCTGAATCTTGTCCACACAATCTTGTGTGAACAAAGGGCATTGACATCGGCTATCTCAGCTTGGAAGGATCCCTCAAGGATGTACTGTGGCTGTCGTGTGGGCTTGTCCTTCATAGAAGGAACTGGTCCTTGCCACCCACCCAAAAAGAGCATCTCTACTAGAAAAAGAATACCTGGGTTGAAACCAAAAGGAATTCTAGTTGGGTTTTTTTGTTGTTGTTTTTGTTTGGTTTATTTTAATTGTTTGGGTGGGTTTTTTTCCAGGAAGTATTAAAGTAAGCGATCCTGTAGTATTGACCCCTGACACCACATGGTGACATTATTTGACAGTGTACATTTGTCCAGTTATGAACAGCTTCTTGACTGGGGCACAAGAAATCTGAATTCCAGTTCTGAATCTCTTCAACCACTGCTCTCTGATCTTTAAGCATATTGTTTTTTCTCTTTGTTCCCTGCCATCCTTAGCCCCTGTAATACAGCAAGTTGAAACATACTCCCACAAAATAGAGAGCTGCATTTTCATCCATTAAAAAAAGTTCTTTAAATATGTATTTGTCTACTTTTGCTATTAGTGTAAATTATTTTTTCAAATAAAAACATGCTCAATAATATGAATTATATCAGTTAAAATGCAAACAGCATGTGCTTGTTGCTAGTACATTGAAGCATATTTTAAAAGTGAATTGTGAAATACATTCAATTCATTTAATGAATAAATTATCTATCAGAATGCAGTTTGGGGCATTTTACTAAAATTGCAATTTCCATACAAATACAGCTGGTCATAAATTAGCAAAAAGGTGTAAAGAGAAGCATATGTAACTCAATGTGTCTAACTAATAAGTCATGTCAGATCTCACCTGCTTAAATATAAGAATAAATGTAGGTTAAGCTGTGCATTTTTTAAAATAAATGTGGATATTGAGATAATATATGTTCCCAGTTAAGACCAAAGATAAACTTACATTGAAAGTTAGCATGCAGAGCTAACTTCAAAGCTGCTCAGATTGCTCAGAGCCTTGTCCAAGCTTGATAAATTCAGCAGGGGATGGAAAATCCACAACTTGTTCTAATATTGCACCACACTTAAGATGGAGAATAGTTTCCTGAGGTCAGATCAGAAATTCTTTTATTGCATCTTTTGTCTGCTGCCTATTTTCTGTTTGCTGTGCATCTCTGAGCAAACTCTGTCTCCCCTACAATATTGCTGCAGACAACTGAAGAAAATAACAAGAAACTTCTAATTAATACAAAGCACAAGTTTAATTGTGAAATAAAGCATTAAAATTATTGAAATAAATTCTCTTCCTTTGGGGAAATTGTGATACAAAAAATGCAAAATATGACCAAAAAATCAGTGGTTCAATTAAAGGATTTGCAGTCTGTGTCCCTGCAGCAGGCCACTTTCTCTATTCTCACACATCATCTACTTCTTGTGCGCTACCTTCTCACCCTGAGGTCACTTTCAATTTCTCTGCCTTGGGTTTGCTAGCCCTGGTTTCACTGTTTTGCCTTTAGCTGCATCTTTGACTCTTTTGGTCTGTCAGTTTTCATATTCTGTAGCTATTTCTTGGCCATGCTGGCTGCCAGCATCTTGGCTTTCCTTGTGACTTCCTTCACAGCCAGAACTAATCAGGGCTCCGTGGCAGTGCCAGTCGAGGGCCAGGTGGGTCTTGGCCTTTGCTGCCTTCTTGGCACCTTCAAAAGTGATTTGCTAAATATTGATATTAATCTAGTATCAATATCAATCTGTTGATGGACAAAAGGCTCTCTAACAGTTTAAAGTTAGAAAGTCCATGTTTAATCAGCATTGGGTAAGTGTGTGGGGTAGTTCCCTAATACACACTGTGAATCCACAAAATATTCCAGTGCCTATTTATTTACAATAATAATGAATGCCCAAAATACCAATACATATTCATAATGCTAACACCTCCCATTCCCCACTTTGTATTAAAATTCATGGTAATGAATTTAAAAGGTCATTACACCTTTGTGGTTGGTTCCCTGAATTGAGTGGGGGGTCGTTTCTAGTGAGGAGGGGTCGTAAAATGATGAAGGACAACCAGTCTTCCTCACTCTGACTTTTCTACCTTTATAATGGCTGACATTACAAATGACACTTGGGGAAAGTCCAATTTCCTCCTTCCATGACTTTTAAATAGGTTTCCAGATGTAAGGCCTGTGTTCTTCCTGAACCTTTTTATCAGTTTCTCCTCTCATTATAAGCACAGCTAAACAAACATACAATGACAAGTAATTCGTTATCTAAATCCAGGATTCATTATCTCAAATCCTGCTTCTAACCTAATCATTAACTCTAATTGGTTCCAGCAAAGTCTATCTCTAGCTAAAAGCTTTAGCTTTTCTAAAATTCTTAATTCTTTTTAAATTTGTGACTCAAAAGCATTTCTTTTCTGCCCGGTGCAGTGTGAGTGTAGTTGCTCCTGTGACTCTCTGTGCTGTGGTGAGCAGTGATTTTCTCATCAGCTCTGCTTGAACCCAGCAGTGTCATCACACACCATCTCTTTTAGCTCCACTGTCCATCAGCTGCTCTCTTTGTAGTCGCTCATTGGTTTGGCTTAGGGAAGGCATCTGAACTCCTTGTAGTCTCTTTACCATTTCTGTTCCCTGAGAGTCCCCAGGGACACTGTAGATTTTTCATGGTAGATTTTTGCCTCTCCAATCTAAAAGCTTTTCTGGCCTTGTTCCCAGTTTTCCAAATTGGAAGTGGACCAGGCTAGCCACCCTTAGGATAATTTGTCTGTGCCTTACCTGTACCTGCACAAAAATGATAGAAGAGAGGAGTGGATCTGGTGTCCCCATGTTGAACACAGACTGGGCAAAAAGAAATTACCTGGCTGTGCAGGTGAATGCAAGATCAAGAGATGCTCATGAGGACTTCCAGCCAAGGAAGCCTTGTACAACTGCAAGGTACTCAGCACACGACTGACAGCCAAGGAACATCCAACACGCGATTTTTTACTGAACTCCCAAGATTTCTGTCTCGGTCTCTCCAACAAAATACTTCTACAAAGACAACAGGGAAGTTAAAATCACCCACACCCCAGGTGCAAGCTCTTTTTGCACTGAGTAGCACGAGCTGCAGCACTGCACAAACATGAGCTAATCACAGGCAACACTGGTTTGCAAAACCATAACCACAGCTAGAAGGTGAACCTCGTTGTGAAAAACAGCAGTGCAAAACCAAGTTTCTCCCTGTGGCTAGCAGATGAGTGCAGAGATATGGAGCCAGTGACTTCCACTGAGGAGGGGGAAGGTGTGATCTGAGGCAGGGTGTGGGGTGCCCAGACCAGGGGTCTGAGCTGTAGGAAAATGGAATGGAGCCTGCAGCTCCCTGAGCACACAGAGGGTGTTCTCCAGGTCAGTGCAGAATCAGGAGCTGGGTGAGATGGGCAGGGCATGCTGGAAGCTGAAGCTGCAGGCACTTCAGTGGGAAGAGCAGGGTGCAAGCAGCTCTGGTAGGTGCTTTACCCCCCAGCTCTCAACATGGGGAGGGTAGGTTCTGCTTTCATCAGAGTCTGTTTCTCTTACTGGCAATGAAATAATCTCCCAACCATGTCATGGTCTCAAGACAGAGAACACACTGGAGGACATTCAGCATAACTATGTGGATTTTGGTCACATTTCATATCTGCATTTATGATGGGTAAGCTATTCACTAGGTCTCAAACTCCTCAATCCAAGCTAGCCTCTTTCCTGCCTTCCTGCTGGTGGTTCCAGCAGGTGTCAGTCTCTGGCAGCAAGGGCTGGAAGTGCTGTGAGAGAGACATGATGGAGGGTACCAATACAGGCAGGGAGAGAAAATAATTGTGGGGTCACAAGGCCAGAATTAAGGACTTTTAATTCATATAAGAAACCCTGGACTAGGCTGGCAGAGAGCTGCAGGGCAGGAATGAGAAGCACTCACAGGGCTGCGGTTAAAAAATGTATACTCAATTCAATAGTTTCACCCTTATTTGCCTCATCCCCCAGCACCAAAACAAGTGAAACAAAAATAAACTGCAGGTCAAGTCTCCAGATAAAGATTTTGCAGTGCAAGCCTGGAAAGCTGAATTACTAGTAAAACACACAGTAACATATAACCTTATCACACACCCAGCAACCAGATGCCCTCAATTCTGCATCAGTGGCATCACTGACAATCCTGCAGCATGCAGCAGTGCAAGTTTTGTACAGTGATTCAGCTTCACATTTGCAAACCCCACCACCACATCATCCCTCTCTGGTGAAGTCCACCTCAGGCAGACCTCACACACATCCTCACTGCTTTTATATATCTCTGTGGTGCTGAATATGCCGCAAAAATCACTGCTTTGTAGTGCAATGGCTGAAACCTTCTCCCTGGGCATGGCATCCACAAATGCATCACAGGATGAATTGGCAGCTCTAGGAATAAGGCTCTCTGCCCCATGTCCTAAAAGCAAGCTGCTCTACATCTAGTGTGGGGGGTTTTTTTGCACCCAGGACTGGAGTAATGGGAGTGGTATGCCTGGCAGAGGTGTCTGAGCAAGTGCACTACCTTTGTGTTGGGTCTGTCGTGCTAAATAGGGTGACAAAACTTTGTGGAGCAAAGGCAGTGCAATGCGTGTGCAATAAATGAGCACTTTGAGATATAGTCTCACACTTAGTATATGCTCATATAAAGTGAGCATGTTCTATGTGCTTATAATAACCAAGCATAGCAGCTTATTTATCTGACAGTGCCTGACTGCAGGGAGCTCCACCACTCTCCTGCTCAGCATCTCTGTGCAAGTCAGTGGCTGTGGTGCTTCAGCACTTGTGGAGCAGAGAAAGTTCTTCTGTTTGAGGTTTTCTCTTGAGGCCAGGGGAAGCAGGTGTCTGTGTTTCTTGTGTTCAGTGTAAAACCAACCAACTGCTGGTAGAGGCGCTACTTTCAAAAGGCGATTTCTGAGCAAAGGGTGAATGGAAAAAACAAATTTATATTTATAATGGTATGCACCAACACATGACTTCCTGTTGACTAAACAAGCAACCTCTCCTGTGCTTTTGGGCTAGATAATTTAAATTATTCACTTTACTTTTGCTGTCTAATTTCTTGGTAATTTGCTTTCTGAATCTTTCTTAAAAGTAATGGTAACATTCCTCCTCTCACCCCCCCCTTACACCTGACCACTGCTCTTCAGCCAGCAGTTCTTTCTCTGTTCTCACTCCAAGATAGAAAATAAAGCTCTGAGCACAAGAAACCTGAAGGGATGCTAGAACATCCTTCCATGATCCCAAAATGCTGGAGCAGTGCCTCTTGCTAGATAAAACTCCAAACACAGGAGCACAGGGACCCTCTCCAGCCTTCCCCACCAGCCTTTAACTCACCTGAGCTTTGATCAGAAATAGCGATGAAGTCATGTTCAGTATTTTCCTCTCCCATCTTCAAGTCCCTCTCCAAATTGGTTTTCATTGAGCAGAAAGGACAGAAAACTGGAGTGGTCAACATATCTCCTTATGTATTAGTTCCAGCATATGCTTGGCATATGTAACAGATTTGGCAATTTCAACCAGGGAGAAAGCTGGACAAGCAACCAGATCAGGGATCAGTGACTTTTCCAAGGTTTTCCAAATTAATTTTTTCTTTAACCAGAGCAGGGGTGACATCTGCTAATGAGAAGGTCCCTCTTGAAATATCCCCTGACTTTACTACAAGACACTAAAACCCATCCACACCAGCATATTTCTGCTCTGGGGATTAGAGACAGAGGTAGAGAATCTCTGCCACTGACTTTGTGCATTTGCACCTCACATGTGAGGGAAGTTACCAGCCTAAATGAAGGGCATTAGAAAGCCTACAGCAGTGTTTAGTCTTGAGAGCCTTGCCATTAATTATAGTTCATCTGTTTGTTCATCCATTCTTTCTTTCTTATCTCTGTGGAGAGCAAAGAAACTCTCAACATTTAAGGGAAAGATGTTTTAAACATGGAAGGATGAATTCCACTTACAGGCAGGACCAGAGAAAGGATCTAGTTATGAGACTTGACATGTAAAACCTTTGAGAAAATAACTTTGCACCAATGAAATTCATAGGGAAGACCAGGCTGGCCATGGAAATATTTCCTGACTCCTTTCAAAATAGAAAATTTTATATAAGATTTTCTACAATCTTTTGGCTATGAAAATTGAGAACCAGCACAAGAATAAAGGTGAATTTACTTTGATTTATTGAATTAAACACAAACAGTTGTGATCTCTGATTTCCAGAATGTTTAGCTTTTTGTTTTTGCTTTTCTCTTTTTTTGATGTCCTGTGTAAGAATTGTCCTCTTTGAATTATTAAAAGAAAATCTAGTATTAAAGTGTGATGTGTCAGTCTGCCTAGGAGATTTGTCACAAGATGCTACTAGAGCAAAGGCTGAAAAGGGACAGCTGTTTCATTAGCCAGACTGTTCTCTTAGACTCTGTTAAGTAGGACAGGGATTCTCAAGGATTTCAATCTCTTCTAGCTTTTGTCAAACACTAGGAGCCAGATCCTCGAGGAGGATAATTGCCACAGCTCTTGAGACCAATGCAGCTCAAAATTGTGCAGAGACAAAATGTGTTCTCATTGAGCATGTGTCCTACCCAGGCATTTCCTTCAGGGGTAGTACAGCCCATTCCTGGGCCTTGCAGGAGTGCTTCTCCTTTTCCTGAAGTATGCCATGCTCTCTGTTCTCAAAAACAAGTCCTCTCCAAGTGCTGGGCTAGAGAATCTGCTCTGTTCTGGCAACTCATCTCTCCTTTACGTGTTTTTGCATATACTGGTTTCACAAAGCCTTAGCATTCTGAAAACCAGTAATATTAATAAGGAAAGTAAATCAAGCAGAGAAAAAACGAAGAACTACCCTAGCGTGAGATAAACAAAAGCGCTGCTTCTCAGCCATGCCCCACTTGAGGCAGGAATGGAGCAGAGTCCCCTGGCTGCCTCCTCGGCACCCTGCCCCATCCTTTGGCTGTCCTTCAGCCCTGCAGAGGGGATGGCTGCCAGGGCAGGAGCAGAGCCTGGGCAGCCCAGAGCAGTGCTGGCAGAGCAAAGTGTGTGCATCCTGGCTGCCAGCCTGGCTGTGACAGCGCAGACCTCAGTCAGGGGGTCCCAATTGTCACCCTGCCACCAGCAGAGCTCGGTGCTGGTGCCAGGACCACCTAGAACAGCAGGATCCCACTGGTGCTTTGTGCACAGCTTTGCAATGCAGGTCTGCCACCACTCCTGGTGTGTTGACAGGGCTCAGACACAGGTGGCAATGTTCAGGTGCCCACTGACCCATGGGAGCTGAGCTGAGTCCCTCTCACTCTCATCTTCAGCTTCCATGTTGCTCCATGCAACTCCTGGGCCTTTCAGGGGGTCACAGAGGAGAAAGGGAAGTCTGCCAATTATTTGGTGTTCCCTGAGCTCCTTCCAGCAGGGTGGCTCCAGGTTGCCTCACAGAGCTGCCTGTGGCAGAGCAGGGCAGGGTCACCACCGTCCCTGCACAGCTGCGTGATGCGAAGCCTGGAGGGATGGTGTGGTTTTGCCCACATTCACACTAGTGGTACGCAAGCTCTCAGGCCCCCCTCTAACCACTAGACAATGTTTCCTGCCTTGTTATGCTATTGATATTATTTCAGAATAATTTTGCAGGTGGGGAGGGCCAGTAGGCAGTGCGGGGAGGATGGTGACCAATGGGCGCTGAGCATCTTTCAGAACTGATGCCCCTTTGCATCTCAACACTTTCTTCTTCAGCTCCTGCAGCTCCAGAGACCCTTCTAACTCCTCCCTCAACCACACCCCGATGAAAGCCAGCAGGGAATAGATAGGGGTGAATGGGGAGGGAACACACAGGCCAGTCCACATTTCTGTACATCAGGTCAGAGGGCTGCAGAGACAGAGTCTGCGACATAATCTCCCTGTAATCCCAGCACCTGAGAGAGAACCTGGGAGTCATGGACAGGTAAAATGAATGCCTCTAGTTTCTTGCTCATATGAGAAATTAGAGTCTTTCTATCAGAATTAATTTGCTTTCCTTCTGGTGTTGACCATCCCTTTCTCTTTCCCCATCTGACTCACTGATTGAACTCCCTGCCTGTCCTGCTCTTGCAACTTGCATCTCTGTTTCTCTGTTGTTCTTTCTTTTTGACTGTCTGCCACCTGCACTCTTTTCCCCTTCTGTCATTTATTTTTTGTGGCTATTCTCTGTTCCTTTCATTGTTTTTCTTTTCTAGAAACAAAGGATGATAACAAAAGGATGAACAGTCAGATGCTATCTGCCACTAAAGCACCTCACTCCTCTACTTGCACAGCAATTACTCTATGAGCTTATTATAACTAATCACTCTCCACAATTGCATACTATGCACACACTCAGGGGGCTTCACTCTGATTTCATGAATCTTTATTTGAGGAGAAGACCTCCATTCAGGCTGCTTCTTCAGTGCCCAGGTATAATCACAGCTCCTGTGTCCTTGCTGCTTTCCCTTGAGCTGTTCTATAGCCATAGGAGTTGCATGGGTATCCAGCAGCTTATACCTAACCAAACATCTGCTCAGTTGCTCCACACAACATCTGCTCATTCATTATTCTGTTTGCACCAGCAATATTCTGAAATCCTCCCTGGGGAAAAAAAAACAAACCCTGGGATGGTGAACTCCAGAGGAAAGAGAGATAAAGAACTGATGTTAATGAACATTTCTAGCTGAACAAATGTCTTCTGTGATTCAAATCATCTTCAATTTGTTCTGAAACTGAAAAATAATCTAAGTGATCGTATTTTTCTTTTTCTGTGGTTTGGGGTCATTTCTTGTTCTTCACTCTTATTTGCATCCACATGTTACTCTGCAAGGGCAAAAACATTGAAAAGGAAAAAGGAATGAGATGAGAAAAGGGACAATTAGAAGAAGAATCAGAAACTTTTTTAAAAGCAAAAGGCTTTGCCCAAAACTTTAATATATATATATATATATATATACATATATATATATATACACACATACACACATATATACATACATACATACATACATATATGTATATAAATAAATATAAAAGGAAAAGTGGACTTTTCCTTATGTTTTTGATGTGATAAAAAGCATTTTTGCATATGGCTTTTAATGAAACATCAACATAATTGTAATTGTTTTTCACCTGGCTTATATATTTATTCAGCAAGCAATAAATATATTGTGTGTGCCCGGTGCCTCTGCTCTGTTTTCTGCAGTTGTGGCAGAAAACACCTCAGGTAAGTTCTTCACAATCCTCTGTCCTATTGCACCTGTGCAATTCTCTGGGTTTATCTTTTCTGGACAATCTGAGGATCTGCACCACAGAACAGATCCCCTCTCCAGCATCTCTGTTACGGAGCACAGTCTTTTCCATATCCCTGCAAGAGCACAATTAAGACCTGGAAACCTGTGGTGAACCACTGGTAGATAATTTTATGAGGAGACCAATATGTGTGTGCATGTCTGTGTGTGTGTGTGTGTGTTAGGAACACAGAGGTGTTCATTTGTAAGTGTACAAAGGCAGGGAAATAGGGTGAATCTAAGGTGGTAGGAAGTGAGTCAGCTGTAAGTGTGAGAAAGATGATGAAGGACATACAGTGGGCATGGGAAACACGCACACAACAAGGGGTGACAAAATGCAGTGGGATCAGCTCGTGCTCTACTCCTGACACAACCTGAAAGCCCAGCAGAGCAGGACTGCAACAGTGCTTATGGGACAGACCTCCAGGAATGGCCTCAGACTGCTGTTTGGCTTAATGAAATACTTAATGGGAATGCTTTACCTTCCTGAGTGTGTGCAGTCTTCTCTATGGACTTTCTTCTAACAGAAGGCGTGCTCGCATGCGATGTGCTTCTGCAAATCCTGTCTGTATAAAGCATGGCAAAACAGAGTATGTGTGTGCTTCCTCTTTCTGTGTGAGCAGGACAGGTATTTTTGCACTGCAGGCTGAGGGAGACAGGGCAGGAAAGAGCTGTTTTCCTGTCTGTGGGACAATCAGGGGAGCAAGGGTGTCTGAGGGAGAATATGTCTGATGCAAGTGAGGAGCAGTAGGGAGTGTCACACAGCCTCGAAGCATGTCACTAGGTAACAAAAGGCAAGAGGATATGCATTGACTGTGTGAATGAGTACCTGTGATGCAGTCTGTGATGTGTCAGAGTGTACAAGGGAGAGAAGCTCCTGGAGGAGCAGAGAGGATGCCTCTTAGGTGGTCATTAAGTGCTCTGCAGTGCTCAAACTGTACAGTGGCACTGGCAAACAGATGAAGGGTACCTAGACTCCCTGATTTAAATTCTTAACAAACCCCAAACCCCCTTTTCTACACTTCAGTGGAGATCCTCCAGAAAACCCAGCTCAGTATCTCTTAAACTTACCCCATCTTTGTGCTGAACATCAGCCTAACAGTGGGAAAAGACGACAAAGGACGTGATTATTTTTAACCTATTCACTTCTGTTTTGCATTGCTGCGGGGGAGGTGAGTATCTCACCTCAATGAACCCAGCTGTCTGTGTCCCTCCACTCTGCAGTGAGGCTGTTAGATATGGCTCATGACTGCCTTACACCCTCCCTGTGCTCCTGCTGCCTCTCCCCAGCAGGGTCCCTGGGCACGGGAGCAGGCCTATGCCAGTCTTGATGTCTGTCTGTTGTGGAAATGATACTTGTGTCTGGAGAGGTGACAGCATGCCCACCCATTATACATTCCATCAGCTGCTGGATGGCATCTTTCCCTAGTCCTGCACATTTTCAGCTCTGCTCTTCTTTTAGGCAGTGCTTGGAAGACGTTCAGTCCAGTCTTCTCTGGAGAGATTCCAATTTCATCTGTGCCTTGCCCCAGTGGATTTTCAGGGTTTCATATAGCAAAAATAGCATCTCTTGATGACTGAACTCTACACCTTCTCTTCAGAGGTCTTCTCAGATGCCTTCATCCTTCTCCCTTATTGGTGTCCATGTTCTGGATACTTTCAGATGTTTTCACACTCTGCCCAGCCACAGTAGCTGTTTGACTAATCACTATTAATTCACAAACCATTTCCACTCACAAGGTCACCTGCTTCATCCCCAGAGTCACGCCTGCACCCTTTCCCTAGAACATTTCATGCAAATGACTGACACTCTTCTCATACCGAGAGGCTTGGATGTGAAGGGGATATTTTCGGTGCTGAGCCCTCAAGAGAGACGTGGTGAGCTGCTGGCCGCAGGGTGGGGCTAATGTAAATTCTCTTTTGTCTTCTCCTGCAGCATCCTCATGCAAAGGAGGCTCTTCCTCTACAACTTCAGGAACCTGCGCAAGGCCAAGGGCCGGCGTGAAACCTACCTCTGCTATGTTGTGAAGCGCCGGGATAGCGCTACCTCGTGCTCCCTGGACTTCGGATACCTGCGCAACCAGGTACCGGGAACGCCTTGCCATCCCCTCGGGAGGTGCCTGGAGCCCCAGTTTGCCCAGGCCAGCAGGGAGCAGAGGGCTGTGGCAGGAACTCGGGCACAGCTGGGCGCTGTGCTGGCACGCTCCGTTTCAGGGATGCCACCTCTGGGTGAAGCTGTGCTTTGCGCTATCCCTGCGTGTGTTCCCAGCAAGACATCCGCACTCCCTGCTGCTCTAGCAGCCTACCGACCTTCCCGCTTAGCTCCCGCACATCCCGCTTGTGCATCCCTCCACATCCGCGCCCTCCGGGCCTTCTCTAGCCCCTAAGTACCACCGTGCCTTCTCCCCGGTGTGTGCTGACCTAAGGACGCGTCCCGCACCTCGTTTCTCCTCCCTCACGCCCCCTCCTTGTCCCTCTCACACCCGGCTCCCTCCCGCCACCTCACGCCTTGTCCCCGTGTCCCCCGTGTCCCGAAGATGGGCTGCCACGTGGAAGTGCTCTTCCTGCGCTACATCGCAGCCTGGGACCTGGACCCGGGGCGCTGCTACCGAATCACCTGGTTCACCTCCTGGAGCCCCTGCTACGACTGCGCCCAGCACATCGCCAACTTCCTGCGCTCCTACCCCAACCTGACCCTCCGCATCTTCATGGCCCGCCTCTACTTCTGCGAGGACCGCAAGGCAGAGCCCGAGGGGCTGAGGCGCCTGCACAAGGCCGGGGCACAAATTGCCATCATGACCTTCAAAGGTGAGTTGTGCAGGCAAGAAAGAGATGGAGGAGAATGAAGGGGCGTTAGGGAGACCCAGGAGAGGGGGAGGAGGTAGGGCAAGGAACTGGAGAAGGTGATGCAGAGCGTGATGATTTAGTGATCCTAGGAGAGGTCAGTGTCCTATTGAGCACCCTGTAACCCCCCCCATACCTTGCACAGATTATTTCTACTGCTGGAACACATTTGTGGAGAACAGGGAACAGACATTCAAAGGCTGGGAAGGGCTGCATGAAAACTCTGTCCATCTTACCAGGAAACTTCGACGAATCCTCCTGGTAAGGGCCAGTTCTCCTTCTTCTTCCAGTGCCTCTTCCCTCAACTTACTCCTCACTTCCTCACTACAATTCCTCTCTGCTCTTGTTGCTCATCCCTGCCATCTGCCATTTCATTCGCTCATGTGTCTTCATCTTCCACATCCCTTATACCTCTTCCCCCAAGTTTCTTTGTCTGTCCTCGTTCACTTCCCCTTCTTCCACCTCTCATCCCATCTCCTGCCTCATATTCATGGGTTCCTGCTCACTTGACAACTGACCTACCATTTATATTTTGTCCTGCAGCCACTGTATGAAGTAGATGATTTACGAGATGCCTTTAAAATTCTGGGACTTTGAAGTGAAAGTCATCAGCAACCAGAAGACTTCACAAACACTTGTTCTTTGATTTCCAGCTCTCTTCCTTACATCTTTCTCCTCTTCCCTCCTTACATCCCTCTTCCTTCCAGCCCTGTGTCTAGAGATAAGAGAGATAAGACTATCCTTACTTTTTATTTCCAAGGAGAATTAGGCTGATCTTGTGAAGACACCTTCCCCAGGCTCACACCTTATCCATTGCTAACTGGGAATAGCCAGGACTGCAGTGACACTGCCAGAGAGCGATTTGCCTCCCCTCAGTCTCTGCAGAGCTAATCCAGGTGATCCACTGCATGGAGCTCTTGGTTTAGCCTTGCCCATGTGGGAGCAGACAGCCTGCAAAGCTGTTTGTGTGACTGTGTTCCCACTGACCTGCACATTTCCTGAGGGCTTCAGGGAGCATATTTTTTTGACTCCTAGAGCTGCACTACACTCAGCTGCTCTGTGTCCTGCCCTGTGAAATGGTTTATTTATCCTTCTGGATGTTGGTAGGAAGTCGAAAACCATCTCGACTGAAGTGGTACAGCCTGTGTATTAACAGCAAAACTGGCCAGATACTGGAAAGCTCAGCTGAGAATGTTGAAGTGGGTCCTTGAGAGCCCAGGTAGCTCAGCTTGAAAGCCTCACTTGAAGCCAGCAGGTGTGCCTAAGTGGATTGTGTGCAGAGCACCACAGCTCTCACTGTGTGGAGTGCTCTTCATCCACCGAGCACTTCCCCCTAGACCAGATATGCAAAATTCTCCCTCCCCAGCCAACTGCTTCTGCTGGAGGCACCTTTACAGTCCCACAGTCTTCTGTTTTTCCAAGTCTTCTACTGACCATAATATGGCCAGCAATGTCTAGTTGGTAACTGTACTGAGAGCTGGCCAGAAAAAAGTCCTGGCATACGCAAAGCTCTTTAGCCTGTAAATAGGTATCTTCTGTAGGGGCGAAAATCAAACCATCCTCCTGCCTGGCAATCACTCTGTTTCCACTAGGGGACCCCACTAGCTCCTGATGTGGTCTTTACAAGTCTTTACAAGACTGTCTTTACACAGTCTTTACAAGCTGGAGGTAAGGGTTCATAGTACATGCCTGCTCACCACCACCTTACCACCACCTAAATTATAGCTGGACTGCCCTCTCCAGTCTAACCTCTTGAGGCTTTGACTAAGGCTAAGTGCATCCCACACTCTGAGTGTGCTCTGTCATTTCCTTCATGATGGCTGCAAGTTCTCTGCTCAGTCCTGCTCCTCCTTCTGGGTAAGGCTGGAGGCTCCTCAGGACACCTCTGGTGCTAGGCCAGATTCAGGACAGCAGAGAGCCCTGCTCTCTGCTAGGAGAGGTCACAACCAGCCAGGTGTGTCACAACCTTCCTACAACTTCAGGCTTCCAAGGCACTCTCAGCTTGAGGAATTTCGACCAGGAATAGAAATAAGAGTCCTTTGCAAAGAATTAATTTGCAAGCATGGTGTTGTATATTTGTTTCATATGGTGCATATTATTTATATAAATAAAAGTCTTACAAACAAGCATCTGGTTTTGTCATTTTTTTGGTATCATGTGGGTGAAGGAGGAAAATTGGATACAAAGGATTGATGTATCATCTCTTCTTTCTGATTTCTGGAGGCACAACTTGGAAATATTAAACTGTTGTCATACTTTTACTTGTAGCTTTGAAGTTATTGACAGTGTCACCCAACAGATCAAGGCAGATAAATTGTTCAAGTACTTTGGAAATACTACCAAAAATCTCTGAAGTTATTTGAGATGCTTCTTTCCTTGATGGCCAGCCTATTCTGCCCATTCATGACTCATAATTGGCCACAATGGACACAGAAGGGCTGACCCAATATGCTTCACAAAAGAAGAGGAGAAGCAAAGATGTATAAAGAATCATTGTCTTTCAAATTCTGGTATTGGCCTGTACAACAGCATTGTGCTTCTCAGTGAAATTGTTAGGAAAAAATTATCATTTTCTTAAAAAGGAGCTGAGATACTGGTTTTTGTTTAAATTTTGACTAACACTGAGTTGAAGATACTTGTTGAAACATGACAACAAGTGACACTGTACAGGAGGAAAAAATGCAATGAGTAAATGCAAAGAATCATGAACTACATTAAGAATACATCCTATGTTTATATTCTTCTTAACGTAAATTTGATTAAGTACAGAGTGGACTCTAGAATTAATCCACGTGATTCAGCTATAGGAATTTAGCTATTTTGCTATGGAGATTGTTTTAACTGTACTTTTTCTGTTCACAAATACCAATTCATATTGTTTGTTACAAGATATCCTTTAATTTGGCTTTCTAAATTAATTCAACCTCAAACACTTTAGGTGTCTCTGCCAAGAATAACTCCCTGGAGGGTGGCTGTTATGGAGCAACGCTACTTTTTTAGCCTAAGATGTTTTTCTTGCTTTGTGGACTGTGCATATAGTGAACATTTCACTGCTGATTATATATTTTTGAGGACCACTTATCTTTACAGCCTTATGGAGACTGTGGGTGTGCTGTTCTAGGTGTCTCTCTCCTTTATATGCGCCTGGACAAAATCTAAGCTCTCAAGGGGAGTGTGGCAAATACACCTCTGGCCCAGGCTGCCTGAGCTGTGGGAAATGGGGGCTTGTGATTTCTGGGAGGGCATTTCCTCCCCAGACTGTGGGGAGCAGCCAGAGCAGGGGCTTGGTGCTGGCAAGTCTCACTTGATCAACACTCCATGGTTTGCAGCAATGAACAAGGCACAGGCACATGCAGGTAGCTGTAGAGGATCGGTCCTTGATAACAGAGGAAACAGGACAAACGGGATGGAATGGTGACTGGTGTGGACAGCTCTGCATGGCTGCCATCTCCTGGTGCACAGGGGTGTCTGGCATCCTGCTGAGGGTGTTGCCTTGGAGGGATGTTGATCCATGCTGCAAACATCTCCCAAAGTGTGCCTCTCAACAACCCCCAGAACATGTCCACAGAAGAGCAGGACACTGACATCATTCCCACAGCTGCACACAGCAACACTCCAGGTCTGAACACGGTGTCCTTGGATTTTGCAATAATAAGAAACAGATCACCATTAAACAATGCAAAGACACACTCCTGACCCTTACAAACACAAGCATGTCTTCTCCCTCCTTGCTTTCTCTTCCTTGCCTGCATGCTTGTACTTGGAAATCAGGATAGAAAGGGGTTTCAGGGTCATGGAATCTGGTCCCTTGCTACTTGTCCCTCCAGGGGGTTTTCAGCCTAGATGTATTTGTGTCCAACATTGTCTTTGGGTACATTTTTCTACTCTCCCTGATGCTGACCCTTTAGCATTCCTGTGAGCAGAAATGTCATTATTTCATCATATATATATTAAATATTCACAGTGATGGAAGTCAGATTTGGTTCACAGAAGAAACATGAAGGGATTTGGCAGAGAAGAGACCCCTTGTTCAGACAACGTGAGCAATGATGAGCAGTCTTTGCTGGGGAAGAAGAAAGTGGGTTGCTGCAAGAGCAGAGGTCATAGTGGATGAGAAGGCACCAAAGGGTGGTAAATATTCTGAAGGCTGCCTTTGGCTTTTAAACCTCTCATACACTTCTGTCTTAGGCAGGTTTCCCCTCAGGCTTCCAAACCCACATCAGATATGGCTAAAACTCTGTCACTGTTGCTGCTGTTGCACCCAAGTTCCAGCGCAGGGAGGGTGTTGATGGCTCCTCACTATAACCTTGTCCTTAATTCACACTTCAGAATTATCCCACTCTACAAGCTGGCACAATGTTTTTACCAGTCCAGAGGGCCAGAAGACGATGAGAGCAGACCAGCTGCCTTCTGTGGTTACCTTTAAAAGCTACCAGGGTGGTAGACCCACCTCTAGGCTCTCACATGTCAGTAGGGACACAGCAGGGATACAGCAGAATGCAAATTCACTCTGGCAGATAAAACTGGTGTGAAAAACTTCACTGGGCTTACTTGGAACTGGCAAGCTTCCAAAAAGACCGGAGAAAGTTTGTCCTCCTGCCTTCAGCGGGAAAGGGCTGAGCCCTGGCCATGGATGGTCATGGACCCTGCTAAACTATACTAAACTGCATGTTGATCAAGTGATTTGATTGCTCCCTGAGAAAACGAAGAGTAAACAATATAATGTCCAGAAAGAGAGCATGTGGAATCCAGTATGAGGCCCTGGACAGACGGAAGAAAATTTTAGCTGTGATATACATTGCTTGGAGTTGTTTTATTTGACTAACGTGGGAGACACGCCCCAGCCAGCTGTGCTCAGACTTAGATAAACTCTCATACTGAGGGAACTGGAGCTGCTTCCTCAGCCTGCAGCTTTTCTGGCTGTCTCAATGGTCTGCTAAACATCTGGAGATTTTGGCATGGCCAAAGGACGCTATAAGCATTCCATTAATCAATTGGAAGAGATAGGCACAGTTCCCACCAGCCCCTGCTTTGTTTTTCGAGTTATCATTTGTGCATGTTGTGGATCCCAGCATCAGCATATATCCCAGTGGGATCACACAGTGGGCCCCCTGCTTGAAGAGGTTGGGAATCATGACACATGGAGCTTCCCACAAGATTCATTCAGATGATCTACATTATTTGCTGTTCAAATTCAAAACTGCTGCAAGACCCAAAACACCTGAATCTTCTTTTTGCCTTCTGCCAGTAGAGAGAGCTCAGAGTTTTCAGTATCTCCTACTTCACCATTCCACTCCATGTTTCCAGCTGGAAAAGCTGAGACTTTTTACTTTGTTTCCACAGTTTGCAATGAGCAGCTATGTCTCCCGAGTGTGGAATTACAAGGCAAGGTTGTGTACCAAGGAGCTGAACAAGAAAATCAAAGTTTCCACAGTGTTGACATATTCCCTTTTATTACACTGGTTTTACAGTCATTAATAAAGTTTACACTCATAAATAAAACCTTAAAATGAAGTATTATTACAGTATTGCATGAATACTGTAATAGCATGAAATATTTTCTGAAACATATACACGTGTATCCTCATAAGAAATTCTGAAAGCAAGAATGCATGGCTGGTTAGCTCTTTGGAACAGATCAGAGCATGAAAAATGTTACATGCTGGCCTCCCAAGAGGGCACTTGCAGAATCTGACTGCAGAATCTGCAGACGTGGAAGGCCTGATTATGGGGCATGGTCTCCATCCCCACTGGACTCTCAGGAAGCTCTCTAAAGACCAGAGTGTCCTGGATGCCTGGCTGCATCATCCAAACTTCCTGATGGCTTCTCATGCGCTCCTTCTGTTCTGTTCAATCTTCTGTTCTGTTAGCAATGCCCAGCCAGTGATCAGAGTCTTCTCTGGTGGCAGCAAGAAACTTATCAAGGCTGCAGAAGAAAAGACAGCCAGGGACTGGCTTTTCTGGTCTTGTATTGATGCACAAACTGAGCTTGAAAGCATGGTGGTGATGCTCATTAGCACTCAGTTTGACAGAAGTGGAGGAAGCCCCTATAAGGAAGGAAAAAAACCCCAAAAATGTTAAAAATTAGATACCAAAAGCTTAAGCTGTTTCTTCAGCATGATAATTTGAAAATAAAGCATCTGCTCTAAGAGATTACTCTGATCCTCCTTCAGCATGCTAGATAATCTCCCTCAGCATACATTTTTTCCAGACAACAGGGTAGCACCTCGTAATTTACTATGCCATGTATGCCATTCCCAGAAATATAGACCATTTAGAAAGAGAAGCATTTAAAAGGTGACAACTTGCATAGCTAGATGCAGGGGAAGTGGAGTTGGATCCTGTGGAAAGGCAGATTTCTGGAGGGGTTAGAAAGGCCCCCACAGAGGTTTCTAGTACCACACCATGTTTGCAGCATGGCTAACTCCAAGGCTGGATCTGGCAGCTCAGAGGAAAGTTCTCAGTGTCTTCAGGGATGGAGGTGACAGCTTCTCTGTGCTCCAGTACAGCACCATTGCCAGGAGAGACTTTTTCCTTCTATCCTGTTGGAATTTCCCTCATTGCAGCTGGTGTGTGTTACCTTGTTTTCTCTCTGTGCATCACTGAGGAGAGTTTGGCTCAGTACGTAGTGGAAAACCGCATTTGGCCTTTATGTAGTGGAAAACTGCAGCTGGATCCCACTTAGCCACCTTCTCTATAGGTCTAGGAAAGCCTGTTTGCTCAGCCTCTCCTTGTAGGGCAAGTGCCCCAGCCCTTTGCAGTGGTAATCCAGCAAATCCCCTCTGGTTCCTCTGTCTCTTTCTTCTGCCAGGGAGGCCAGGGCTTGATGCAACCAACAGTGTGTATTTCTCTGGAGCACTTGCCTGGAACCCACTCACCTCATTACACCTCCGTGTAATTAGTAAAACAGGGTAGGATGTTCAAAAGGGTTGAGCACAAAGACATTCCCATTCCTTGGGGTTGGTATTTAGTTAGAACTATTGATGATGGGCCCTATTCACCTTCATTTGAGGGGTGTCTTGTGTTTAGCTGAGACAGCAGAGCAGTTGACCTCTGATTTCTAGCAGGCTTTCCAGCCAGCACGACCCTGCAGAAACCATCAATCCC